TATAGGTTTTTTGGGTCGTAGATTCCAAAAATGAGGTCCAAATAACAAAATAAGCTGATAGAAGTTCTCCAAAAGCCAAAATGGCGGCCATAATGGCTGCCGCCCAGGCATTGAACGCGTTTGAACAGTAGGGTGTCCCATTTTGGACGTTACAAAAAAAAAAATTGCGAAATCCAACAGAGATACCTGCCAAAAAGTTGTCTCATAGTTAGAAAAAAAAGCAAAAAAAATCTCAGGGTCGTAGCTAAAGTTTGAGTGGTCCCGCAAGGTACTTAAGATGTTTCACCGATTTCTCATCTTGGCAATCTTGGCGATCTTGCAGATTTTTTTTCGGTAAATGCAATCGAGGTAAAAAGTCGCAAATGCGGATAATGAGACTTCTGATACTATATTTTAAGAGAAAAATAACGGTTTGGACCCACGAGGATCAGAATCCCTCGTTCTTAGCTCTCAAAATGCAAATATCATATTAAGAAACCAATTTTGAAGGGTTTTCCCATCTGACGCCCCGTTCGCGAGATATCGACCCCCAAAGATGGGGTTAATTTTAGCGGTATTCAAAACAGCCCGTTTTAGCGATTCTCATTTTCTCTACTCTCCTCTCTTTGACTCTCCATAGCGAGACTCTTTATCAATCCACCATGCTTTGAAAGAGTACTTCTACACCTCTTTTTCATGTAGATTCTGAATATGCCATCGAAATTGAGCTAAGAATTATTTAAATGGCCGTAATTCAGGCTTTGTCCAAAAGGACGGAGGTGGCGGGGAGGGCTAGGTTTAAGGGTGGGCAAAAATTCAGCATTGAGAACCCGTGTTTTTGAAATGTGGCACTGTTTCTTTTTGGTCCTCAGATCACGGTCAATGTTTGAAAGTCGCATCCTCGTGCACAAACATCATGACTAGAAATCGTAGGAAATGGGTCGTCTATAAGCGCAGGGTCTTAAAATAATACATATTGGCACAAGGTATGATCCCCCTCTATCTCCACGGAAAAAACGAGTTTAGGGTTGGGACCTGTGGGGCAGGGCCGGCCCTACGCCCGGGGTAGGTAAAATTGCTTCACCTAAACATCGAAGGGGCAGGCCCATGCTGAAGTTAAGGTTCAGCCCTACCTGCCTCAGGGCCTAGTCCTACCTGAGGCGGGGCCGAGCACTAACAACATAGGGTTGGACCCTGGAGAAGGTAGGGCTGGGTCCTGAAGAAGGCAGGGCTGGACCCTGCAATGCGGGAAGGGCCGGACCCCCTAAAAAAGAATTCGAGGATGTTACTCTACTTATACGAGCATATTTAGCGCGCTCTTTGCACTGTTCTATGAAGTACTCACACAAAATCGGAGGGACTGTATTTTGGATATTTCAGTTTGAACATTGAATGCAAAGAAATAGTAAATTTTAAAAAAGCCAGAATTACGGCCATTTAAATAATTCTTAGCTCAATTTCGATGGCATATTCAGAATCTACATGAAAAAGTGGTGTAGAAATACTCTTTCAAAGCATGGTGGATTGATAAAGAGTCTCGCTATTGAGAGTCAAAGAGAGGAGAGTCGAGAAAATGAGAATCGCTAAAACGGGCTTTTTTGAATACCGCTAAAATTAACCCCATCTTTGGGGGTCGAGATCTCGCGAACGGGGCGTCAGATGGGAAAACCCTTCAAAATTGGTTTCTTAATATGATATAAAGACCCCGTACACCAATTTTCAGCCACATCGGAGGGGGTCGAGTTTCGAGCTTGGTTGCGTTGACGTGGAATGACCCATATGTATTCCATGTGCAATATCCGAAAAAATGGCTCAAATTTAAGGAAACGCGGATTTCTATCGAATTTTATCGATGGTATGTGGCAACGTCGCGCCGCGGTGGGAGGCTGTATAGATAAACACATGTACATAATCACTAGTAATCTGGTCATAACGTATGAAAATTCAAGGTTTGCTGAAATTTGCTCAATAAGCTCGGTGAGGAACAGCCTCCAAATACTGAAATAGGTACTCGGTTTTTTGTGTTTTTCGGGGATAAAATATGGCAACATCGGCTTTTTTGGGAGGCTTTGAATCCAAAAACTGTTTTAGAGGAAGTATTTGACCACCTACGTGTATTGTTCGCCAAAGGAGTTCAATTTTGGTGTAAGATGAGTCGCCCTTTTTAAACCATTTTAAAAAATGATGAAAAACAGGAAAATTATATTAACAAAACAAAAAACATTTTAAACAATGAGCTCAATGTTTAAAAGCAACAAAAATTGGCCAAAGTGACCCTCTTACACCTCTAATGAACATACTTGAAGGACTTTTTACTCCTGCAATGGGATCATTGTGAAACAGCGCGTCAAATGCCGCGACATTTAAGTCGAGCGACGGTCGAGCAGCGGTTTGACTACAAAATGCTAAAATCGCTGATATTTGCATTTTGAGAGCTAAGAACGAGGGATTCTGATCCTCGTGGGTCCAAACCGTTATTTTTCTCTTAAAATATAGTATCAGAAGTCTCATTATCCGCATTTGCGACTTT